AGATTCCCTGGAAGGAAAAACGTTATACACACACACACACACACACACACACACACACACACACACACACACACACACACACACACACACACACACACACACACACATTGAAAACACATGACTGCTGACCGTTAATTAAGTCACGCAGTAAATATCCTGCTTCACGTTATTCCAGTGTGACCTGCTTCACATGAGCTGTTAAGGGTCAAATAACAGAAAAACACTCCCCCCTCTCCTCTGGCTCCCACACACATTTACACAAACACACACACGACCACAGGTGTGAGCGTTTTCTCTCTTGCTTCTCTGCTTTATTCCCCTTGCTCACTTGTTCACATGCAAGGTCATCTTATCACTGCCGGCAGCTGTGGACTGCTTATAAAAATAAACAGTAGATGGGTATTCCTCTCTGTCTCACTCAGTGTTTTGTTGTTTTTGTTTCACTGTTCCCAAAACAGCAGAGGCATTTATAAAGCCTGCATAAAATGGAGAACATTAAATATCAATGTATTTTTTAACCAATAGCTCAATTTAGATTTTGCAACAATATTAGAGGGTAATATTAGTTTACTTAGATTTTAAATAAATAATCCAAATAATAACTCCTCTCAAAAATGTACTTTTATCTAAGTGGATATTTTGTCTGACATCGATTTAGTAAAAATGTACTTTTATAATGTATTTCTGCTGCATCTTAATCCTCTTGACTCTTTTTCATGTTTTGTAAAGCACTTTGAATTGCCTTGTGTCAAAATGTGCTATATAAATAAACTTCCCTTGCCTAATATACATATATATTTCCGAGCCCCATTACAGCACTTTTTATTTCCACATATTGCAGGCAGTCATTTCGATCTACAATGTGGATTAAAACTCTCCTTTCTTCGTCTTCCATTCAAACAAATAGAGCTTTTTAATATACATGTAAATGGAGAGGGACAGGCAGGGTTGTTTTTATTCTCTCTAAGTGTGTTTTGCTAAGCAGACATACTGTTTTCTCATTAATGAAGCCTCCCGAGAGAGATAAACCACGCTATCAGTGCTGACCCTAAAGAGACCTCATAACTCAATCCTATTATGTGAAGACACTCTATAGCTCTTCCCCCAATGAGTAAGTGGTCAAATGCGGACAAAGAATAAATAATGGTTTGTGAGACAAGCTGTTTCTTACAACTGCAGGCATTAAGTACATCTTGAAGGCCCTCGTCCAATAGCACTGCTTTGAAGTATTGTCTACCACTGACCGACCCATTCACAATTAATAGCTTATTTTACGAGATCACTTTAAACCTCAGAGGCTGTGAGTGCATAAATGGTAATGGTTAGCTTGTGGAAGCCTCGCTAAAGAGCTGTTGTTTTACTATTCTCCCAACACACATTCTTCCTCTTTACCAGTGATTGACCAGCCCAATCCAAAATGCAAATGAATGGTATTCATTTTGATAAGGCCACTAAAAGCTAAAAGTATGATTGATGTCTGCTCGGGGGTTTCTGTGCTAGTGGAAAGGACACAGCGGTCTGCAGCGAGGGTCTGCCCTCAGAGCCCTGGTGATAAATCTTGGCCCTTATTAAGGTGAGATATATGAGACATGACAGGTGGGACTGAACTATTCATCAATTGTGTCAAGAGTGATTAGATTGTGGTTAATTGACCTCTGGGGGACTTCTCCAAAGAAATTGGTAACCCCAAGATTGGAAAAGGCTCCAAAGTCTTACGCATGATGATCAAATATTCTATTAATTGACTTGAAACGTGAACAAATCATACCTCATGATACTATATCTCTATATCAAGGTTAAGCATGGGGTTACTTAGAGTATGAAATGCAATTAGCAAATCCATGACATTCATTAGATACAATTAAGCCACTTGAAATGAAAGTATGCATGAACACACACGCAGATCTGATTGAAGCTATAAAACTTTAGTGGCAGTGACAAACCAAGTCATACATTCCACACATCAACAACTGATGGGAAAGGGAGGGCTGCCCCTCTTTCATAAGGTCATGTTGAGGTCATGTCAAAGGGCAAATGGCGGGGCCAGACTCACAGAAAACTTTGAGCAGCGTGGAGTGCTCTCCGACCCCGGCTGGGCCAGCGGTGACCTGGCAGTAGAAGACCAGCTCATCGTAGGGTTGGACATCGGTGATGGTCAAGGTGAAGTCCTCTCCGATGGTGACACGTCCGGACAGGGGGGTGTTGTCATCGCTCTTTCTCTCGCCACCCTGGGAGAAAGCCACGCGCTTCCTGTTTCCGTGCTCGTCCTGGATGTATAGGAGATATAGAAACAGAAATAAGAAGAAATACAACTTTATACACTTCTTTATTAAGTATTCCTTAAAGGTGCCCTATTATATTGTTTTCCATCTTATAGGTCTCAGATATGTACAAAACATGTCTCTGAAGTGTTTGGCGGGAAATACCAAACAGATCGTTGCAGCATTACCCATAACCCCCTCTGTTTCAGCCCTGTTTCAAAAGTGCTGATTCTCTGTCTTTTACTTTAGATGAAAACAAGGAGCCCCTCCCCACGCCCCTCTGAGAGACATTTGGTTACAAAGAACTCAATGGTGCTCTAGGAGGAGATTCAGGTGATAAGGGGGGGGGGTTACCTTGGTTGGTGATTGGCTAATGTTTAGACAAGCCAAAAAAATCGTTATGACATCGTAAAGAAGCCAACATCTGATCAGCTCATTTTCAGACAGGTTTTTATAGAAATGGATCAGGACAAAAAGTGAGAGAATCTTTTTTCCTGAAACTTTCAGAGTCTCTTCACACAGAGGGGACACATGTTGATGTATAAGAGACATGAAAAAGTGGATGTTGCAAAATAGGTGACCTTAAAACTTGCATATGCAAACATATCTGGATATGACTTACAATGTACCACTCAACAACAGTGTTGCCTGAAGGTGCCGGTGTAGTGTATGTGCAGGGCAGTTTAGCGGTCTCTCCTTTTATCACCTCCACTACAGGGGCCACCTTCACCAGCACAGCCCCGCCACAAACTGCAGAGGAAAAGAAAACAGGGACAAAAATGTGATTACAGTCATGCACAGGAAACCATATGACTTGTAGTAATGCAGGGGTGTCAAGCTCAAGGCCCGGGGGCCAAATCCGGCCCGCGACTTCATTTTATGTGGCCCGCAAGAGCTTGCAAAGAATATAATATGTTTATTATACGGTTACATGCCGTTTTACAGAAGCACGTTGCCAATAAACAACCTTTCCCACAATGCATCTCATTTTGTGACATGCACACTGAAAAGACTTGCAATTATTTGCCCTTCTGCATTCAGACGTAGTTAATTATGAAGTTACCTATTACTAAATTACCATATCCGATAATAATCCAATGCAGAGGCAGTAATGTAATATAATACATTATTTTATATATTTATATCATACTTAAAGTTAAATGTGG